CCATGAATAGAACCATGACCTCCTGGTTTATAGGTCGATGCTCAACCAGTGAGCCACACCAGCTGGGCTGAGCTATTATTTTTTCAACAATAGTTATAATTTGCCATCATTATTGCCTTGCAGAGTTGGGTCCAGATAGGATGAGATGCTCTGCTGCAGATGCCTCCACATGCTTCTGTCCTGACTCCCCCACAGGGGAAGGACCTTGGCCCTGCCCTCAAATGTCTCTCTTCACTCCCCAACCCTCTCCCCGCACCATGGTATAGATAGCAGTCAGAAATTACTATTAAGATTTATAAAGGTTTCTAGTCTGAGATACTTCAAACTAGATTCTGATGCTGTGGCTGTCTCCAGTGCCCCTATATATGAAGAGAGGCTTGGTGGAAGGTTTTTAATTAAAACCACAATCTGTTTAAGTATTTATTGGGTTCTGTGATTTTAATTATTTTCTAGGGGGGGAAAATCCACATCTGCATATGGGAAGACTGTTGATTCAGAGGAAAGTAACAACCTGTGGCAGTTTGCTGGAGGCAACTGGGAGGAATTTCCTGAATTGTTCAAATGAAGCTTGACATTATTAATAATCTGGATCCAGTCTATGACCTTCCTCCTAGTGCTTTCAAGAAATTAGCTTAACATGCTGGCAAGGCCCATTATTGCCATCACAATTAACGACAGTTCTTCTAGTGGCATCTCCTGTAGGTGTAATTATCTCACTGAGATGAGGAACCCCTGCCTGGAAAGGCAGCCACTCCTGACTGTGAGGGGCGACAGGCTTAGCTGTTCTTCCCAGTGCAGGCGCCCACTGGCTCTCTCTCCAGAGGGGAGTCCTGGGCAGCCAGCCCCCTCCATAGAAGGGTGAAGGGAAGGGAGGGCAGGGAATCATTTCAGATGCTTTGTCTGCAGCAAACAAAATTCCCATCTTAAACTGTTTTAAATGATTAAGTGTACATCTCACAGCGAGAAGCAGGGCTGGTAGACTGAATGATATCAGCAGGCCCAAATTCTCTGTGTCTCTCCTCTGCCACCCTTAACAGGGTTTGCAACCTGAGACTGTGTTCTTTGGTGCCAGTGGAGGGCTCAGCGGCAGCTGGGGTCACATGCTTATTGGTTACAGACTGGTGGATAGAGAGACTGGATTCATTCCAGAATCCATAGCCTCTTCTTAGGTCGTATCAACACATTGACTTAGGTCTCCCCATCTCTGAGCCAGTCACTGGCAGAAGGGATGAATTTATTGGTTTAGAGTAATGATCATCTAGTCCTGAAATGGATGCTGAGTAGTCAATTTTAATAGTCACTATAAGCAAGAAATCCCCTTTAAAAAGAAGTGTTGGGAAATTGCATGATTAGAGTAATCTAATATTGTGTCAAAATGAATTTAAATGAGACTGGCCATAATTATAATGAACCATATTAGACACCTCCTTATCTGGGGATAGCACCAGTCTATGTCCACAGTGTGTGAACAGGATCAGTGCTCAGGGCATGAGCAGAAGCAGGGCTCAGTGTATAACCAGGGTTGGGGTTCAGTGTGTGAGCAGGATCAGGGGGCTCTCTTGGATAGACATACCTACAAACTAGAGGATTCTCTGCTTTCACAGAATTCTTGAAAGGGTAAAAATGTGTTCTTGGAAATGCCCATGCTGGGATCCAAAGCTATATTCAGAGCAATAAAAGCTTCAATCTTCAGTTGAGTATTTATGAATAGGAGACATTTATGAACTCAAAGATGTTCATTCCTACCTGACTTCACATCCTGAAGATGTTACCTGGTCCTACAGCCAAGAAGAGAAGCACTTTACTGTCCAGATGGAAAACAGAAGGGAGAATTTCTCCCTGGTCTATAACAAGTGGGGAGGCAGCACAAGGCTGCCGGCTCCACAGACTCACTGTGTGATCTTCGGCAGCTCCTAAGAATGGGTTGGATGTGCTCTGAGGGCCTTTCCCTTTCAGTGCTGTTCCCTGACACCCTGCCTTGGGCGCTTTGGCTTTAGGAGAAGCCAATTTGAGGATGAGTTGGGGCTTCTGGAGGCCTCCACCTGGGCTTCCCGCAGGAAGATGTCTTTATCCCCCTGAGCAGTTTCCTTGTTTTCCATCCCCTCATACTTCATCCGCCTCATCTAGTGAGGTCATCAGCACACCTGGGCCCAGGAGCTAACCCTCCCCCTAAAACTATGGGCGGGGTGGGGTGGGGGTCCTCCTGCTACAAAACACTTCCTGAAGGCCCTTCATATAGCAGGATTCGGCAGGGGGGGATAGAAGGGGGACATCATTAGAGATAAAATCTGGTTACTGAATAGATATATGGGCCCAGGAAGAAAAGTCAAGTCTGCTAGGAGCTCCCAATGCAGAAGGAAGATAGACTTTCTGCTCTCCCACTTCAATTCTCTGTTGCCTGGTGCCATCAGGGGACACAATAAACAGATTCTGAGACTCATCCAAGGCAACAGACAAGTTCAGGAGTTCTCT